TCTCTTGACTCCTACGCTTGGATTCTCTTTAAATTGAATTCTCTCCGATCGCAATCTTGTTCACAATTTAATCTTAGCTTTTACCCGTCACCTATCAACCATCAACCATTATCGCGTACTATTATGCCAACGTTTAAATAGAAGCACTCATTTGCCTAAATCCCTTCTTTTCCAACCAGAAAGGTTTCAACTGAACTCATAGTTAAAAAGAATAATTATACCCAAGTGGATTAGTGAAAGATTCGAGGATAGACCCGTGACAAGCTTAAGAACAACAACAACAAAAATACAAGCACAATAAAATCTAAAGATGATAATTATTATTATTTTTTTTTTGTTTAATAAAATACTAAAATCGAAAAAAAAATATTCCATATTGCTGCATGTACTTGTTATCGATTCACGAATCAAATTTTATAGAATAGTTTCAATATGTAAATTTGTAATTTCAGTATTTTATTTAATCTTTAATTTTCTCATTATTTTAAGCGAATAAATAGATATTTCAGACAATTGGTAAAACGATTGTTTTTTAGGAAATTTCAAGAGTTCAATTACTTGTTATTTTTATTTTTATTTCGAAATTTTTGCTTTGATTTTCTTATATTTTACCAATTCTCTGGTAAACATTTATCTCCATTTTGAATTTTTTAAATTGTTTTATATCGTATATCAACAGATAAAAATAAATTGTTCTCTTTAATCAAAACTAAATTCAACAAACAAGTAAAATATGAATTAAGATAAAACAATTTTGTCATTCGAAATCTTCGAATTTAGTCGTTTTTTAAAATGTCAAAATATTCATTTTATTAAACAACGCAGTATTCTCCCTTTTTTTCTCCCTTCTTTTTCCTTCTCCACATTTTTTAAAGATCAATACTAAATGTAGTAAACTATCTTTCTAAATATATTTGCCTTATAATTCAGTCTAAAGCATAAATACTTTAATGATTCTGAGGTATTGCATACAGATATTTTAACTCAAAATTAGAAAAAAAGGTTTTACATTCATTGAAGCGAAACATTCCTGGAAAATATGCAGTTAAAAAAATTTTTTTTGTCGGGCATGTTTTTAAAAAATTTTTACCCTTGATAATTCAAAATTTTTCATCATTCGATTCAATCTAATTTAAATCATTTAGTTTTTATGTGTTTTTTTTTATTTTCGTTGAAAGATCTAATTATTTTGAATAAAAAAATAAAACATCGTTCAATGCTCATTTGAATTATCAAAGCTTCCTGTTGAACTTCTAATAGTTTTTCGAGGATTTATATGCATAAAATTACGTATAAATTAGATATTTTTGAAAAGGAAAATCCTTATATTTTCAAATTTAATTCAAAGTTTAAATACTTTAGTGAACGTATTATAAAAATTAAAAACTATATACATTTTTTAAAAAGCAAACCGAGACCTAAGTGCAATAAAATATTCTCTTCAATATCTTAACTGCCTTAATAATATAATAAAAATACTTGCATTTTATGTTAAGATACAGTTAGTTCATTATAAAAGTATCCATTAAATCTTGAGAATAAACTTCAACATATATACAAGTTAAAAATATAATATGAATAATTCATAATTAAAAGGAAAATTGTAATAAAATTTATTTTCGTTAGATTATTTGATAATTAAAAAGTCTCTGTAGCTCTCGTAAACATTAATAACCATATTTTTTATTTTAATAATGGAACATTTTAGAAACAGTATATATTGTAGAATTAGAAAAAAGAACTAGTTTTATGAGTTAAATAAGTAATATTGCTTGTAATAAAATTCTACAGGGGTTCAAATTATATTTTTATGAAAAGAAACGAAATAAATGTGTTTAAAAACATTAGCTTTATATCTTTTAATGTGTATTTGATATAAATCAATATCGTTGAAGTAGTTTTATTACGAATTTTGTCACAGGTCTCTAATTAAAAATTGTTTTTCTTACATTTAAAAGTAACAGGCATCACTAAATGCTATCATTGACTGTTTTGGTTTGAATGTGTTCATCTGCTATCTTATGAACTATATAAACCAAAGCTTGAATTTAAGTTAGATTATTAAACACCAATATATGCTTCTCAATATTCATTTTATGATATTTTAAATATTCATTATATGAACATTCTTAATATTCATTACAGCGCTTTATAAACACAACATGCATAACTTATAAATAACTTTTAATAAATACACAAAATATCATCGCATTTATTTTTGTTATAAGAGAGAAAAATGCCTGTAAAGTTATCTTCTTACAAATAATTTTTAAGCTGAACAGTTAAACGAATGTATTTAGCTATTCTCTAATACAAAGAACATAAAATTAACATACTTTCTTCTAAAATAAAATCTATTAATATTATTTGTTTTAACATTCAGAAATAAAAAAAAAGCATAACACGTATAAAGCAATTTTTTTACAGATATTACATTAAAATACAAATATAATTTTATCTTTGGGAAAATGTATGCCACAATTCACGTGTTCTCGTATTGCTAAGCATGGCTAGCTTGATAATTTGTCTACCGTCAGCTTAGAAAATATTAGTGAAAGACCTTGTAATTTTAAACCATGTCAACATTTGAACGTGTATTTTACTCTTCTAAGATCTACACCAATTAGAGACAGAACTTTGAAATATAAATGGATTTAACACACATTACTCATTACTCGACGCAATGATTTTTGATGAAATCTGATCTCGAACTTGCAGTTTGACTTGAGCATCGACTATGAATCTCTCAATCTTAACCATTCACTAAATAAACTCACGATAGAAAAAAGTGATGTTTTATTAAATGTCAATGACACTATCTCATTAAACTTTCGATGGAGATAAACACATTAAACATAAAATAATGAAAATGAATTCGTAAATAAAATCAATGCTAAACACAGCAGGATTCTTTTATCTGTCTGTCAGGCATCGTTAGAGGAAAGGGCTTGAGTAACACATTGTTTAGTTAGATGTAACTGAAATTAATAATTACTTATATGAACGATTTATGAGGCATTGTTTACATAAACATCCATGAGCGGAAGCTTGCATGTTTGCTTGATGACAACCCATATATACTCTCTCGCTCGTCAAGGAAACGCTAAACAATACACTAGGATTTCATACCCAGGAAGTTCATCCTGGTTTCGCTATCGAGATTGAAAGAATAGAAATTTTAAAACATGTTTCTTTTCAATCTCCAAATAAAATAAAAGAGTTTAATAAAAAAATTTAAGAGTCACAAGCGAGCGAGTCCACTTTTTTTTAATAGGAATGAGGCAGGAAATATAAAAAGCAAGAAGATACTTCTTTTCAGTGACAAGTCGGCATGTTTCTATTGAGTGGTCATCGTGCTCAATACCTAATGCCGGGTGGACTTCGGTAGACTGACCTTTAGGAAGGAAAACAATGAGGTATTTCCTATTCAAGTAATTTAGCGCGCGTGGGTTTTCTCCACCCGTTTGGTCAGTGGTCATTCCTGGCGTCTGGCCCTTGGTCTAAAAATGAATAATAGAAGAAGGGCACATAGTCACGGGCGCAACATCAGAAATGAAATTTAATCATTTGCAATTTTTGTAAAATTTAATTTAAAATACTGTTTTTCATTATGGTATTATAAATGTTCGTATTGGTATTATTCAAGGGAAAAGCATGCACTTGAACAAAGTGTTTGATGATTTTTATTTACTTTATTTTAAGGTTCAATATTTAAACTTTTTGTAAATGTTATTTGAAATTTAGTGATAATTTTAATAACATTTTAAAAACAACTAAATAATCTATCTAAGTGTATGAAATCATTTCACTTTTCTCCAAGTGTGTCTTTTATAGAAGAAGAATAACTATTAAATAAAAGTTATTTTCGAATTTTTAAATACATATTTGGCAATATACTAAGAAGACAGCTTTAATTTAACGACGCTTTCACAATGCGAGTCAACAATATCCTTCTGTATGATTTTCTTATAAGTTGTAGCACAAAATAAAATTAGAATGATAAAAATTCAAGCATTTGGTTAAATATAAGTGTTTCCTAGTAGTGCCAGCAGTGCTTAATGACATCATAGTATGATTTCGAAGATATCTGCATAAATAAACCAAGCTCGAACATCGTAGTAAAACGTAAAGAAAATGTATTTTTAAAAATGTTTATTTAATGTGAAATTTAATGATGTGAAATACATATTTTTGTGTATATGAAGCTTTACATAGTTTGGTAAATTTTATTTCAAAGATGGATTCCTGAATTTTATTATTTTAAAACTAAAAATAGGATGGCGAAAAAAAATATAAAGAAACTATCATTTCGAAAATTAAAGTAACAAAACATACCTAGCATAAGAAGAAGAAAAAATTCATGAAAACAAAAATAGATTCACTATTCAAGCATTTCAGAGATTTTATGAAAGCTTAACATCATCTAGTTTCGCAAGATGATTATGTTAATAATGTTAGTCATATGAATTTCAATCTGTAAGTAAATAAGGATAAAAAAGAAAAATAGCACTTAGTAAATTTTCCTTTTCAACTATTGCAATGAATGCAAAACACACAATTTTAAATCTATTGCTACGTTTTAATACTGTTATTTGCTTTTGCAACACTTTTATGAAAATATAGCAGTTTAATTATTATTATTTATTCTTCCAAAACTCATTGTCATTAGTATTAAAAAATTGTACAACTTTTAATATTAGTTTAACAAGTAATACAAAAAAAAAAATTCTAAGTCAATTCCTACTTAGGTCAACAAAGAAAATTTTATTTTAGTTACTTTTTATTAAATAATTATAAATAATATAAATATGTGTATGCTATGACATAATCACAATATTAAGTGGCAAAATAGTTAGCGATTTTCCTTGCCATTTCCTATTTTCCTTTCTATATATGGTGTTGGACTATTTTTTCTTTGTTTCTATTTATTTATTAATTAAGTTTAATTATTCTAATAAAATAGTATAGTAAAAAATAAATCACATTCGCAGAAAGTAGGTCATCCCAGGCGGGACTCGAATCCACGACCTTTGGATTAAAAGTCCAACGCGCTCTCCATTGCGCTACACGGACAAAACGAACGATTTTCCTTTCTATATATACTGTTGGACTATTATATTTTTTGTTACTATTTATTCATTTTTAATTTAACTAAGGAATTAATGTTTGAAAAAATTGTATTAACATCAAGCGTCATCCACTACAAGTATTAAAAAATGTATTTGAACTTGGATTTGTGAATAGAAAGTATTTTATTAACGATTGAAAATTTGAACTAGATATTTGTATATATACAGAGAGAGAGAGAGAGAATATGAATTAATAGAGTAGTAATTGAAAAAAGTAACAGTAATATATAGAGGTGTACAATTTTAATAATTTAAATTTAAGAATAAAGTTTCTTAATACAATCGATTGAAATGGCTTATCAAATCAATCGATTAATAATACAATGAATTATAATCTTGAATAGATTTTTGTTTCAACAATAATGCTTAATTCAAATATAATGAAGTTGTAATAAAACTTTTAATCTAATTTTGGTAAGTGCAGAAGCTTATAAATATTCTTTTTAGTAGTAGCAATATCTTTTTTTCAATAAGAAAATAGTTGCGAATCAAAAATTAAAATACAGCTTATGACTTTTAATCATAAATTATATTTTCGGTATTGGCTCAAAAGCATATAAAAAATGGGAATCCATCAATAGGAGAAACATCTTTAAGTAATTTATATTGAAATTTCTCTCTGATAATTACAGACGTGGGTTCGATAAAGATAATGTATTGATAATTAAATGATACTGCACCTAAAGTTGTCATAATATGCAAATACTGAATCTAAAGGTATCAATTAACTTTTAATGTAAATGAAGGCAAAACGGAAGTTAGATTGAAACCACCAAATGTTTTAAACTTCCTGATCTTTTCAGGTTTGGAAATTTGATTAGCATACATAAGTCCTTGTGATCTTTTTGTTCGTGTCTATGCCCTAGATTTTGTATCAATTAAAATCTTTTTGAGGAAATCAGTTTTTGCACCTGGTGGATAGGATGTGAGAATTTTTCGTACAAGACTTGATGTAAAAAGTTATTGAATATTAATATTAAAGTACGTAGTCCCAGATGCCTGGAGAAACTACCTGATAACTTGATAGTGAGTAAATATTTCCTGGATAGCAATAAAGCATATGTCATTTAAATGGTGTTAATTTTTTTTGATAAAAATTACCGTAAAATCCGGCGTATAACGCACACCGGTGTATAATACGCACCCATACTTTCAAACTACATTTTCTAATTTTTAGATATATTCGCTGTGTTACGCGCACCCCTTTTTTTACGAAAGAACCTTAAATGAACATATGCAATGCTCTTTTGTTTACAGTAATTTATTCGAGATACGATCACAGGATTTTGAAAAAAATAGTGTAAATGAAATAAAACTAATTCTAGCAAACTAAAACCCTTTAAGCTTATTAGATACGTCATTTCTTTTAAATAAACAATATTTTGATACATACAGAAGTCTAATTTTTACTATGCTTATCTCTTTTTTTTCTCATCATTTTTAAATCTATCCTTTTCCCACCCGGCTTATAACATGCACCTGTAAATTTCTATCTTATTTTTGGTTTTAAAAGTGCACTTTATATTATGGGTTTTACAGTACTCCAAAATTTGAAAGTAATGATCTTGATTGATAAAAATTTTAAAGATAATTGCTAATGTGAAACCGTAAAAATAACAAAATAATCGAAACAAAAACTTTAGAAAAAAAAACTGTTTGTTTAAAAATTAAAAGGGAAAGATACACGAAATAATCATTTTCTAAATATGGTTAGAGAGAAATATGATTCGAACTTCTAGTTTATTGCTGATTTATTTTTGTCTTAACTCCCACGCATGCGTTTGTTCTCATTGCTCCAATTTATTAGAACAGGAAAAATGTTTGATAAAAGAATGAACAAAAAGTTACTTATATGGGCGTGGATTTATTCGATTCATAGTTGTTGAAACTCGTTTGATTACTTTTACTTTCTCTATCTGCTTTATTAAATTTGAAAATTAGGCCATTTTATATTTTTCTTCGCCAAGGCATCTTATCAATGTTGGCGTTTAAAGAACATTCTGACCAGTTTCTACTAAAAAAGTTGTTTACGGTGCAGTCATCTATTTTCATCTTCGGAAAAAGCCCGACGCCCTTTTGAATTAATGCTCCCCATCATTTTAAAGGTAGAAATTGAATATATTATAGCTACGCAAGACTTTTAAGCAAATTAGACATTTTATAAACTTCTTATTAATTTCTTCAAAACTTGAATTCGAAGCATATTAAATTATCATTATTGTTTTAAATTTAACATTATATATACACACACAGGCTTTTTCTCGCTTTCCAGCCTGTTTTCAATTCACTATTACGGGAATTTTCGCTTTCTAGTATTGCCTTATTTCCTTTATCCCCTTAACGCATCAGAAATTTTTCCTCAATGCTCAGAAACTGTTCCCCAGCTTCTGAATACCCTGAATCGAATATAAAAATGGATTACTATAAAATATTCTAATCTATATATGTAAGGCACTATTTTTTTAGGAAAGGTCACTATTCTTATAATATTTTGACAGATACTTTCATGACCACCTGTTCTACACATGCAATGTAAAGCAGCAAAAACAATTTTTTTACTCACGGTATAGGATTTGGGGGAAATTTAAAGGTTTTTTTAAAGTCGAAACAAATTCTTAAGCTGTGTGAGTGAAGCAGAAAAGGGGATATATTTTCTGTGAAAGGGGCTTAAATCAACAACTTTGTCTTCCCATACATAAGCACATATTCCTGAAATGTATGAAATGTTCCTCGTGTTGCCCTTAAGACACAAATCAAATCATTCTCAATCTGATGCATATGATATAAATCCCAAGGAGCAGTGGACTAAAAGTTTTATTGGAGGACAATCTACACTTAAGAAAAGTATAACTTTGTTCAATGATACCAAATACCTTATTTTTCTTATTTCTAGGAAACTTCTGCGCATTGATCCAAAAGCTGGCTCAACTACTATAAATGCTTTTTAATCAGTCATCAACAAGCCGTACCTTTAGCCAGTTAACTAAGAGATAGGTTAAATTGAATTGTGTAAAATGTATATATATAATACATAATTCCGCTAGATAGCCATAAAAATGCGAAATAAACTTTATATTTTTTGCTATATCACTATATTTTTAACAGAAATATTATACATTTTTGTTTAGTTATTATTACATTGTATTTTTAATTTCCCCTTATTTTGCAGCAAAAAATCTTTCCATCCACTAAATTAACAACAGAATAATCAGAAAAATAAAGTATATATTGAAAGCAACATATAGATTTCTCATGACGCCGTCGCAATCTTTACAATCCGTTTAATAATAATTTTTGTTCATGTAAAAAATATAGACTACAGACTAACATTTGGGTTAGAGCCATAAGAATAACTTTGGTGACTGGCCGGTAATGTCTTTGTTAGATCGAATACAGCCGATAAAAAAAATCCATAGTACATGGATAAATTACTTGTTTTTATATTATTAAATTTTAAGAAAATTTACAATAGTTCATTCATTAAAGTCGAAGAAAAATCATAATTCAACATAGGATTATGTCAGGGATTATAAAAATTAAATAAGGAAACTGCTGCCGTTAAATGTTACAGGTCCTAAATTATATGAAGTTTAATGTTACAACTCCTTGCTTGAATGGTTGAAGAGATACGAACCACTTCTATTCTGACCCTGATTCAAAATAATGCGATTCATTACTAATTGTCACAACTAGCCGCAATGCCCTACCCTTAAAAATATGGCCGGATAAAAAAAACACTTATAAGGAAAGTCTCTCTCATCAAGTACATTAAAGAAGATTTCTTGTTTCCCCTGAATGAGAACAGAAATTACAGCATCCTCGGACACAGCTGTTGTTTGGCCGTGGCAGGTAATTGGACACAAGAAAGATGTGTCAGACGTGAGAACCACACAGTTCCTTTACTGAATTTCAAGTTGCCAACTTGTCCTCCTTTTCCATATAGAAGCCTCAACAGCTCCGAGCTATATCGTATCCCGTAAAAATTCATTTGCCACTCTGTAGAGAATGCGGGTTATGTTGGCTCCCCAACCTGTTGTTCTGACCCACTTAAGGCGCGGGTCACACTGCTTCAGTTCACTGGTTGAACCGTGCCATCCGAAAACCGGTCTCTATGGGCAAAAGCACGTTGTGTGGACAGATACTTTTTCCGGATTGTGTGCGACTGGGACCTTTGTCTCATTCACAATATAGAGTTGATTGTTAATTCGATTAATTAACATTCCTTTCTATCATTGTAAGCACATTCTCAACGTAGAAAGTTGCTTACAATTAAACCCTCACTGGGATTTGCCATTAACATACAATGACGAGGTGTGTATAAAAGGTTTGGTTTGTTTTGTTTACCGGAGGGTTAGCGGGACTTTTGTTTTCGTTCAAAGGGTGGGAAAGGTTAGGATATTGTTGCTAATAGTTCGGTTAAAACATCTTAAAAATTGCTGGAGCGTACAGGGGATGAAAGGATGCAGAGTTAATGACCGTGTCTGAGATTTCTGGTTTTGTTAGTTTTAGTTTTTGAGTGGGGATTAAACTTGTAACGGAAAGATTTTTGTACAGTTCTTCCATTTTGATTGAACAAAAACCTTTTCTAAGATCCATTTCATTTTAATTTAAATGTTACATTAAATCGACCTTTGTTTTGATTCAATCTACATTACAGAAATCCATTTCATATAAAAGAGATGCATTTATTAATGAAGAACAGCATATGGTTTTTTTTTATTCGTTCTAATGAGTTAACTTGCCTGTTAATATTTTATTTCATATGAAACAGGTTTCAATAACGAAATTCTAATCAGTTTTTTTTATACATTTCTTTTTTAAAAAGTTCAAGATAAAAATTAAATAATACCAACACAGAACGAATTTAAAGATTTTCAATATTTTGATGATATTAAATATGTATTTTATAAGTGCAATTTTATTTAAATATTATTTTTATAATTT